GTATGTTTTTTTTTATTGTAATTTGTGTGCTGTAAGTAATGTAAATAAATTATCTATCTATCTATCTAACAAATAAGCTGATCTAAGCTAATATTTGGCAGTGTAGCAAATTTCAATACACCATGATGTTACGTATATTCACATCAATAGACAGCTACTAAATCCATCAATCAATCGGGAAATTTCGCGGCTGGCTTTTGGCCACAGCAGAAAATCGGTGTTTCCCCCTTTTCATTGAAAAGCAATAATCTGATTTGTGGTCATTTTGGGTTACTGTGGCGCACACATGAAAAGGGAAAAACGTTCCCTTTTTCATGTACTTTCCTTTTTTTTGTATTATTTTTTTCTATCTTTTTTGTGCATGTCTATCTGTGTATTTTGTTATTTGTGTACTTAATTAATATAAATAAATTATGTATGTCTGTCTATCTACTACTTTCTGTCAGACAAATCGTTAATTTATTTGCTAATCGTATTTATAGTTGCATAAAATAAATGCATCAATTTTAAGGTAACTTTTTTATATTTTTATCAGGAAATTATTGGAATAAATTACAGTATTTCAACAAAATAGCCCCCTATAACATAATTCGTTCGATTTCCACAATTTATTTATTTATTTCATGCAACTTAGAATGGCAAAAAAGCTGACTGTCCACCTGATAGAACGTAGTAACCGTCACCTATAGACATGAACAGTACCATATCCATATCCCACCCTTCAAACCGAAACACAGCCATGCTAACACAACTGCTTCACGGTTGAAACACGAATGGAACAGAGGTGCCTAAGCAACAAACGACTTTTTTTTTTATAAATTTTTCGGTGATGTCTTTCATACGCTTAATGCCGCAAACGTTTAAGATTCAAAAAGTTAATTAGCTTCTTTCTTTATTTACCATAACTATCGTAGGACTTCTAGAAGCTTCGCTTTCTTAATTATTTATTTATTCATAAGTACATATATGTGTACAAGGCGAATTTAATGCTAAAAATATTCTCTCCCAGTCAACTTTAGGGAAGTGTCAGAATACTCGAATGCGGTACTAGTAATTACTTACATACTAAAATTACAAATATGAACGAATTTATTATTATTATTTCGGCCGTTATCTGTCCACTGCTGGACATAAGCCTTCCCCATAAGGGGAGTTTTGCCAGTAGTTGCCACGCTTGGCAGGTGGGTTGGTAACCGCAGTTAGGCTTTTAGAGATATTTTAAGAGGGACGCTGCTGCCCATCCCTCGCCCTCCCTTAGTCCTTACGACATCGACAGGAAAGGTAGGGGCAGCCCATTCTATGCAGGCACACACATAAAAATAAAGAAATGTATATAAATAACAAATATACTTACACATATATAAGACATGCTATATTATACATGAAAATGAGAATAATATAAAGTACTTTTTTATACATCTTAGAATGGCAAACAAGCTGACGGCCCACCTGATGGAAAGTGGTAACCGTCGCCTATAGACATGAGCAGTACCATGGACATAACAGAGTATACTGTTTCGCCCATAATACCCCCCATGCGTTGCCATTCCTGAGGACTCAGGTGTTATTCCTCTGTACCCTGTAAATTCACGCCGTATCCCATCCTTCAAACCGAAACACAGCCATGCAAACACAACTGCTTCACGGTAGAAACGCGAATGGGACAGAGGTACCCAAGCAATCGACTTTTGTACAAAGTCTCCCTCTGGTAAAACTTACTGCTCGGATAAAGTATAAAAGTGACCGTAAATGGTTTTTGAAAGACGGTTTATTCACTAGTCTCTTAATGGTATCAGGAATTCATTCGATTTTTTCGACATTAGAATTACGAGTGTTACAAACTACCTTATTATTCCAATTTATAAACATTTTACGAAATCCCATTCAGTATTCTAAAAACTTTTGTAGGAAAGGTGAATAATAAGCGGCAGTCTCGTCGAGATAAATCGCTCGAGTCAAGTTGGAACAATTTTATTTGATTTGCATTAATGATTTATTGGAGACCGAGTAGCGGTTATCGCTTATTGTTAGCACTTGAATTCAAAATTCAAAATTGTAGGAAGTCCCGCGGCTGATTTTATGATTTTCAAATGAAAATTTGTCTCAAAATTAAATGTTTCGTTTTATTATTAGGTACATTTACAATATTGACTTTTAATAAATTAGTTTTACATTATAATAATTAGACTGAATTGAGCTACAGTGCAAATTAATAATAAAGTATAAATACATAATGAATGGCTTTTAAATGGTAAAAAAAATAATTATAATATACATATAACTCTCAAATCGTAGAATTCTGATCAGATATAACGATGTATAAACGACTTTGTACTGAAACGATGTTACTTTGATAGTAACGTGAGTCGAATCATATTAAGATATGTAAATGTCGCGTCGAATGTTTGAACTACGGCCTGCATGAATATATTGCGCCGGCAAAGGGTTGCGGGTTCGATTCCCAATTGCAGGTCACGTGTGTATTATATATGTATGTATATACTTGTACCTATTCGTGGGTGTAATTGAGCTATTTTGTATCATTTTGGATTTTTTTTATATTATTTATTTGGGTTCTGCTGTGTTTGTTTCCTCTTTATTTATTTATTTATTTATTCATTAGTACAAATATGTGTACATGACGGACTTAATGCTAAAAGCATTCTCTCCCAGTCAATCATAGGGAAGTGTCAGAATACTCGAATGCGGTACTACTAATTATTGATATACATACGTACTAAAATTACATATATAAACGAATAAATATATATGAATAACAAATATACTTACACATATATGATATATATTATATTATACACGATATATACAATTTGGGAATAATATAAAGCACTTACTGCTCGGATAAAGATAAAAAGTGAGCGTAAACGCTTCTTTTGAAAGACGGTTTAGTCGGTAGTCTCTTAATGGCATCAGGAGGCTTACCATCAGCTTATAAGAAACCATCTTTATACAGGGCAGTTCAAAAGTAGACCTTAAACACTATTGTTTAAATTCATACTATGACGCCTTTAAAGGTGAACTATTTAAAAATTGTTTTCCACCGAGTGAATAGCTTAAATTGTCTCTGGTCGTCTGGCCTAATATTACTTTACCGCGAACATTCAAACACTTAAATAATTATTACCAAATTTTCATGAATATTGAACAAGAAATTTCATGATAATTACCAATTTTGATATAATAAATATTATGAATTCTTGTTAACTCGATATAAAAACCCAGTGTTTTTATAGTTTAAATCACTTTACAAGTTAATAAACAGTATTAAGAATTTGAAACCGTCGTCACTCAAGTGGCAAAAAAAGTTTTAAATTTGAAGTGTTTTAAAATAAAGTTGAATAAATCCAAACTTGCTAAAGTGTTTAAATGTGAACAATGGATTGGGGAAGCACTTTACTTTCAGTATTTGGCTATCCTTTGTGCATAAAGGTCTTCGAAACTATAATGTCGTGAGTAACTATTTATTGTTAATTTAATAAAATTTCTTTGTATATTAGCAGCCACTTGTGTTATATTATAGGTCTATTTATATTTTTATGTTTATTATTATATGAATTGCAGTGAAACACAAAGCAGACGGCGCGTTACATATACCCAACTGCAAAATTTATGGGAATTTCTTAAAGATCATAGGGAAATTGCAGTTGGGTACAACAAGTCTGCTCAAGCCCGAGAACACTCGAAACAGATGAACAAATGAATGAAAATGGTTAAGAGTTGCATCTGTATTGAATTCTGTAGGTGAAGGCGCTGTTAAGTCTGGCCCCGAATGGTCTAAGGTATGTTCCAATATGGTTTATTTTCTTAAACATCTTTTTATATTTTTTTTATAAAATTTTTTTCTTCTAATTGGTTGGTAGACCTATAAAATAAAAAGAAAAAACCGCCTGAGGAGAGATGCCTCGAGTCAGACAGGAGGAGGTCCATCAATTTATGAAGAATTGTCAGAAATGGATATAAAGTTCCTGTCCATTTTAGGAGCTGACTATGGTTCTGGATTACCTGGTGTACAAATGCAACCAATTCTGATAGAAGTAAGTATTCTATGTATTTTATTTCAGATACCTATATCCTTATTTGTTTGATATAATGTTAAGTACTGAAAACAAAATATATCTCTCAAATGTACCCATGCCAACATGTAGAAGTTTAATATATTATTTTATAGTTATGTCACTTTATTGAGACAATATTCATTTATGTTTCGTAGGAACCGCAACCTGCTGCTTACAATCCTTCCCAACACAGCACCAGTGAAGGAAGAAGTGAGGAGGCAGTTTGGTTAAATGTTGACTTAGAAGGAAATGTACGTATTTAATGATAATTATATTATGCACTTAAATATTTGTAAATGCTTAATTACTATTATGAAATAATAATAATTCAAACATAAAAGTTATAATTCATTGTGCAAAGGCCTCCTAATATAAAATAATTTTTTATTTAGAGTGATGATCTTACTACTGCAGTATCGAGACCTAGTGATACTGGTACAAATACCGACAGTGGTACAACACACACACACACACACACACACACACACACACACACACACACACATCACAAGACCATCAACATCATCCACACACAATGTCCCATCAGGCATTACTCAATTTGTTGAAGGAAGGGAAGTACCAAGAAGGAGGCGTCGATTGCGACGACGTCACGTGTCCATTGCAGAGGCAAGGGAGCAGTTGGTGGCAACTTCCAGGTCACGAGCAGAAGCAGAGTTAGCCAACAGTCGTTCTATAGAACAGGCTGTTGGTATACTCAAAGAAATGTTGGATGTAATGAAAAGGATATGCCCAAGGTCAGTAATAAGAATAGAATGGTATATTTTTTTTTTCAAGTAAATTAATTATTTTGAATAATAACTTTATAATTTATATCACTTAATTTAGAAAACAATTTTAGCTGAGAAATATAGGCAAAAAAATTAGATGTTAATCTTTTCAAACAAAAATAGAATACAATAGAAATAATCTTCATTCATTTATTTAAACAATAATTTCAAACTAGAAGCACACCAACACCGACAACCAAATGGTTAAACAGATTCTACTTAAGTAATATGTAATAGAAAAAGAGATAATTCAGTTTTGTTGAAAACATAATAGTGTACAGTTGTAAAGATTTTGTATCTATGAATATGAATATGGTGTGAAATAATATGTACTACATATGTATGTATATAACAATGATTGGTATTCCCATATATATATTTCAACACTGCATACATTTTTAACTTCCTAAAGCTACCGTTATTTATCAACATTACTAAATTTATCTACTAAACCAAAATAATTTGTTTTCAGTGTGTCTGATGAAGTGCCCAGAGACGGGCAACGAGATCCCGGCGTGTAGCAGTACCAACTTGCAATTCACGGTTTTGTCGTCCTACTGGGTCTTAAGGTACTACAGGTGGTTGCATTAAGGCCTCTTGTTGGTTCTCCTCTGCAGACAGATCAGGTATTGATAAACCGGCTGCATTACAAATATTGTGCAAAATTATACACGCATTTGTAATATAGCCAGCTATTTGAGGTTGATAATGCAACACTCTGTGAACTAATAGACAACGAAAGCGAGCTTTTAAAACACCTATTGTTCTCTCAATAGTATTTCTCGCTTTCACATGTAGCTTAGTGTAATGAGCTTCTGGTGATTCTGGTGCTGCCTCCAAAATTGGCGTCATCATAGTTTTTCTTAATGGATAACCGGAATCCCCTGTAATAAAGACCATTACTCATTGTAAAATCAATGATTATTATATAAACATTTAAATACAATTATGATTTTATATAAAATTAGTGATCTAGTCTGATTTCGCATGGGTAGATAGAATTTTTAAAAATTATATATAGCCTATGTTATTTATTGACAATTTGTTTTTCTATAGCAGAAAGAATTTTCTAAACTCGGTTGAGTAGATTTTAAATTAATCCATTATAAACAACCAAATCTTTCTTCTTTATGATATTAGTACACACATAAATAATTACTGTATTTCTTTAATATTACCTAAAAGCTATATAGCCTCTGATGCACTCAAATTTTCTAAATGAGATCTAAGGGGGTGGTTATTCCAGATAAAAGAATCGTGGTTGGCACCAGGATGACTTGCATCAACACTGATTATATCCATATCAGCATTACAAATCTGAAAAAGATTAACTTTTTTATTATTATTTATTGCTAATAATTTTATATTCGAAAAGTAGTTTCCTAATTTATTATAATAAAGTATAAAAATGAGAGATCAATACCTCTTTTACTGTACATGTTACAACAATAGTGTAGTATGATTTACTGTTTAATTATTGTAGATATGAAACTATTATATTTCTTATGTATGTCACCATTTTCTAATAAAAAATAAAACAAATATAGCCAGAATAAGTGCTTTGTTGTACAAACTATTTTATATATTTATATTGTAATTATAAATCATTTGATATAATAAATATAAAATAACTAAAATATATAATTTGCTGTTTATCACAATTGTATAACAATATAGAATAAGTAATACCATTATGAAAACAATATCCAATTTGATGCAGTAGTTTTTGCATGATACCAGAACAAATTTATAGACAACATTTTTCAAAATTATTGTTTTAGCATCTAATGTTCTTATTATAACTTCTCATACAATTTTTCTTAAATCTTCATGTATAGACATTGTCAAGTTACAATTTTATTATGTTAGTAAGATTATAATTAAAATGTAATGGGCTAAGTCCACCATTTTATATTAAATCTTTTAATATGCCTAATTTAAATTATGTACAATAAACATTTTAACATACAATACAATACAATGTAAATTCTGTATCTTTTATTTCAATATAGCTCATACTATGTTTTATGTTTTATTTTTTAATTAAAATAAAAAAAGAAGCTGCAGTTATTTATTATGCATTATGCATATAATATAGTTAGCTTAAGTTAGCTTCATTATGCATATAATTTATGAATCTTTTTTTTAATTCATAGTGGCAAATCCTACCACCATGAATTAAATAAAAAATATCCTATGTTGATCTTATATATGGTCTATCAGAGTAGTAAATTTAATTTACTGAGTAATAAACATTTAAACATCTTTATCAGGGTTTACTAAGTTGTGTTTTTTTTGATGGGCGAAACTGGAATGGTAACCTCGCCTGCGCTAGCGGGATATGCTGGCGGAGCACCAGTGAAGGGTGATAGATGAGAATGAAAACAGGCCAGTTAGCCCATCATGATGAATTCATCAGGAATTAACCATGATAGTTTCCAGGGAAAACCGCACACATTCAGTCTCCATTACTAACAATCCCTTTCCCCCCACTAAGTTGTGTTAGGTAACACAGGTAATTTGGCTGCAATGGAGTCTACTTAATATTTTAAAATATGTAAATCCTAATTAAATTTTACATTACCAATTGAACATTTAGGGAATGATAATTTTTTCTGCAATAATACCTTTCTTCATGTTCATTGGGTCTTACTATTGCAATATGGGAACAATCAATGCATCCAATCACACCAGGAATACCAAATTTTTCATAAAATCTGAAAGGTAAATAAGGAAAAAAAATAAAGGGCATTCTGTGTAAGTTGTCTGCGGTATTCATGGTCACTTGTAACAGAAAGTGTTCTTGTGTGGTTTAAAAATATAAAAAATACCTTAACTTATTTGTATTACGTTCTGCAGTATTTTGGGGAAATTTAATGTATTTATTTCTGATTTCTAAATTATTTAAAGCAGCTGTAACCTCTGATAATACAGAAGAGACAGTCTGCTGCGCAATACTTTGAGCTTTACCAGTGGGTTTCTGATAAGACCCATGTGCATATAAATACACTGCTGTTAACACCTGAAAACAAAACAGTTAATTTATTAACGATCTAGACTAGAGAAAAGAAGAACCAGTAGAAAACAATATATATAATAAATCACAACTACCTTTGTTTCAATGCTTAAATCATTGGATCGTTTAGGTCGAGTCTTTAAATTAGGCTCCAACTCCTCACACAGATCTCTAACCAAATCTGGTGATAATCTAATAAAAGAAAGTTGTAAATAAATAGGTATTAAATAAAACCTGTCTCTAAGATTTGTAATTGTGTGATCTTTTCTTATGATTGTGTTTATAATAAGTTTAATAATGAATTTTTTTAGAAAAAATAACAAAGGGTTTTTATCTATACAAGACTATCCATTAACTAAAACGACTATTATAAGTAGAATATGATATAAATGTATAATATAAATAACAGTAAAGTATCTACCTATATTCATTTATAAACTCTCTATCCTCCAATTCGAAAGGGTCATTAATTTGCCTTAACCGACGACGCTTATTTCTTCTCTCCATCCGGTATTCACTCTCCAAGTATTCAAACAATTCGTACTCGTCGCACATCTACAAAAAAATTTAACTTGGATTATGATGCAACTAAAATAGAAATAGATAAAATAAGAGTTTTTTGTGTAAAAATATGAACCTTAAAACCACTTGAAATTTATAAATTCTGGCTTAATTCGTAAAATGAAGGGTCACTTGAACTCTGAACGTCTCCCACAGAGCAAGTAATAAATTAAATCCTTACAAAACCACTACAAACATCAAAACAATTTATAAAAAGTTCCTCAAGAACTAACTTTTTCAACATTGCTTTATTTGACATTAGAGATGCGTAAGAAACGTTTTGTTGCTGTCAAAGTTGGCGTCATGGTACGAATTGTTCATATAAAAAAAAGGTGAACGGTTTAGAAATACTAGTCTAAATAGTCCTGTAGCAGGCCTGCTATAACGCGGTCATAGTACGTTTTAGCAGGACAGTTGAATTTAAGGCCTGCTTAAAAAGCTCATAGTAAGCCCCCAGGAAGCGCGTTCCAGAGTCGTGAAGAATGTAGGAGAAAAGAGTTTGAAGCGTAACCAGTACGGTGAGAGGGGAAAGATAATTGAAGAGTATTATTGGAACGATGGTTACGTTCGTGAGTTTCAAAAAGATAATGGAATTTACTCCTTAAGTAGTTAGGAGACTGGGGGTTTCGAAGAAGAGTGTAGAGGGTACAAAGAATTCTAACGTTTCTGCGTTGACGAATGGAAAGCCACTTGAGCTGAGACCGATATAAAGAAATGTGATCAAACTTCCGGAGGTTGAAGATAAAGTATGTATTAATGATTTGGCCGATTGTATAATTTGGTATATATATGTTACTAGTTACATACTTTATCTCATAAATTCCGCGTGAATCAAATGAACAAATGAATGAAAATGTATTTCCATAATCCACAACACTTACATATACTCGTACCTACTTAGACTGCAAGTAATAATAACATTTAAACAAAATAGGAAAAAAAAGGTTACATTTATATATAAAGTATAGTTGAAATCAGCCAATGTCATGGAAGTAATAAAGGATGCTAATTCAGCTTAAAATAAAGTTCCTGTAGAAGCAGAAACGCTGATTTTCAATTAGCACCTCATCACCTTGCCCGGCCCATCAAGATCATAAATCAACATTTAGTGTAATGTAATACACAATAGAGTAATATAATCAGTATACAAAGTGTCTCGTATGCTAAGTTATGATACATCGTACCTGTTTAATTTATTTGCAATATTTTTAATTATTTCGCGGCACTACACTTTAACAACAACAACAAAACACACACACACACACACACACACACACACACACACACACACACACACACACACATCCACACATACATACACACACACGCTCACACGCACACGCACACGCACACGCACATGCACACGCACACGCACGCACATGTAAATATCGTCCCTGCAAGATAGTGTGACTTTGACGCGGGAAAAGAAACATCGACCTGCACGGCAGTTTTTGAACATATCAATATACTTCGGTTTATTTGGGGTGAGTTTAAGTATTATTTATTATTTTTATTGTTTATCTACGTAGGTATACACATAAATCGAGGCAAAATACACAACGATAACGCGAATTACGGGAGCCCTGAACCAGCAATCTAAGTGTGAGATGAAATAGGCGATGAAAGTAAATATTCCACCGAAATACCTTTATATAACACTATCCATGTATCAAATTTCATACAAATCAGTTTAGTAATTTTTGCGTGAAGGAGTAACAAATATCCATCCATCTATCGTTACAAACTTTCTCATTTCTAACATAATGAGTCGTCCATTTTTCGAAATTTGCACCGGGTTTTTTTTTTCAAGGAGTAAGCAGACGCGGTACTACAGATACCCTCTCGTTTTTCCAACAAAACAAATATCCGCTACGGTTTTTTAATGGCTAAAAATGGTATGGTAACCCTATTGGATGGTAGCGCTGGTATACGCTGGCGGGGCATCAGTGAGAGGTGATAGGTGAGGATGAAAAAGCAGGTCAGTGAGTTCTTGTGACGAATTAACGATAAATTTGTCCCGATAGTTTCCTTGGGGTTACCGCGTGAAAGTCGACTTGATAGGGTACATTGATAGCAACGGGGACTAACCTCCCCATTACTAACAATCCCTTCCCCCCGATCCGAGTGTCCAAGCTTATTAGCTTGGACAGCATAAATAGAATGGAAAAGGACATAAGCTATTTTTTACACCGGTCTATCGATATATACCAAAGGGAGATATTGTACAAAAGTCTTGTTGTCAAAAGTGCTTGGGTACCTCTGTCCCATTCGTGTTTCTACCGTGAAGCAGTTGTGTTTGCATACCTGTGTTTAGATTTGAAGGATGGGATATGGCGTGAATTTACTGGGTACAGAGTTAGATGGGTACAGAGAGATATGGCAGTGAATTAACAGAGTACAGAAGAATAACACCTGAGTCCTCAGGAATGGCAACGCATGGGGGGTATCATGGGCGAAACAGTATACTCTGTTATGTCCATGGTACTGCTCATGTCTATAGGCGACGGTTACCACTTTCTATCAGGTGGGTCGTCAGCTTGTTTGCCATTCTAAAATTCATAAAAAAAATCGTCACTGGTAAAAAATTTAACAGCATGTCATATTTGCATACGGACGAATTGAAAACCATTGGATGTCGCTGTGATATGAATACGTGACCCAATGCATGCTACTTTAATTCATCCACACACCAATTCTCATCACCGGTAAGTCATATTTATATCGTAAAAATATATGATGAAATTCGCGAAATTGCCTTGTAAATAGCGCAGCGAAAGCCTCAAACTCCTACAATAAATTTAATTTCTATAAGGGGATTACCTTAAAAGGAAATGTAATGTGCTAAGCGCCCTCTTTTTTATACCAAATATATCGGTAACTGACGCTTTATAAATTACATTATTAAGAGGTAAGCCTCGCCAGGACAAGCCCCGGGGACTCTAAGTACATTTGTAGGCATTTAATACCCATTTGATGGAGCCGATTAAATTAGTAAGTTTATGTCTCTAGAGTTACTATATTTATTACAGGAAAGTATATTTTTAATAGGTAAAAATGGAATGGTAACCCCACCTGTACTATTAGTATACGTTGGTGACCACCAGCGAGAGATGAAACCAGATAAGTTTTTTTTTAATAGATGATAACGGAATGGTAACCCCACCCGCGCTATCGGTATACATCGGCGGGGCACCAATGAGGGATGATAGATGAAGCAGGTCAGTTAGCCCATCGTGACGAAGTCAACAAGAATTGTTCACGATTTCCAGGGGGAACTACGCGGAGGTCGACCTAGCAGGGCATTTTGCTAGCAACGGGGCTATCAAACTCCATTAGTAACAATCCCCTTCCCCCCAAACCAGAACAGTTAGCCCATCATGACGAATGCTCTCAAGAATCAAACATGATGGTTTCCAGGGAGAACAGTGGCCTAATAAGGTATATTTCTAGCAATGGATCTGTTAGGTATCATTACCAGTAATCCTTTTCATCCCCATAGGGAGGTGATAAACAGAAGTCGTCTCCTTATGTACCTCTGTTCCACTCATGTTTTACCTTGTACTTGCATAGCTGTGTTTCAGTTTAAATAATATTTCTTTTACAACACAAGGGGCAAACGAGCATGCGGCTCACCTGATGGTAAGTGACTACCGTTGCCAATGATCACTCACAACACCAACGGCATTGCAGGTGTGGTGGTGACCTTTTAAAAAGGAATGCTCTGTAAATTGTGATGTTAAAGGCGAATAGGGAAATGTTACTATACAAACGTCTATGACTACCCTATTAGGGATTACCTATATAGTCGTGAAGATATTCTTAACAGACCAAGGCTCTAGAACCTATTTACTATAACTGTTTCGCCTACGTGACTTTGTACCATAACGGCGTGTAAAGCCACTAAGATAAAGAGCATTCTGATAAAGCCCCGATAGCGCATAACTCACTATGGTAACGAATAAAAATACCTCTTAAAGCTTTTTATGGAGTCATCGGCCGTTGTTTTATCCCCAACCGATACGTTGGCTGATATGGTTCTTGAATTATGACAGATTCATAACTAGAAACAAGCGGAACGCGTAGACAATGAGATTTATTCTTTCTTTATTCTTCATTGTACACAAAACATACCGTTAATTACAATTCATTATAAACATAATGTACAAAGGCGAGCTTATCTCTAATAAGAGATTTCTTCCAGCAAAACCTTTCCATGTTAATTGTTATTTTAAAAATAAAAATAGGCAGTCATACGATCTGCATATATTGTATAAACACATAAGTTATGTGTACACAAAGAATAATACAAACTACACATTATAAATTACATAAAATACCCTGTAAACATACACATATACTTACACAAACATACATATACACATATATACACATACATATATATACACATATAAACATATATAAATATACATACACATATACATAATACGTCAGCATAGTGATAAGTAATGCTCTCTTAGACGACGCTTAAACATGCCTATACTTGCCGATTCCCTTATTTCGGATGGCAGACTATTCCATAGTCGAATGGATATAACTGTAAAGGAATTCCCAAAAGCCTGAGCATGATATGGTGGAGTTCTTAGAAGTAATCGTGTCTGAGGACGAAGTGGTTTGTCTCTTGAATATAAATATTCATAACGCTCGCGGAGATAACAAGGAATGGAGGGATTATGCAAGATATTGTAAAGAAGCGTCAGTATATGGACATTCAATCGAAAATGTGAAGGTAACCATTTTAATTCTTTTCGATTATATTCAGTGATGATTGCAGTTAGATAAATCTTTTTTACTACTTTTTCTTATTTAAGAGTTTCCTCTTATCGGGGCAAATAATTTATGCGTTGTCCTCCAGCCAGCTCTATCCCAGGCCATATCTTTGACCTCCCTATACGATGTGACACCTAGTGTTCCTTTTATCTGTCCCATGTAGTTATTTCTCGGTCTTTCCCCTTCCTATTTTGCTATCTCCATTTATTCTTCTACTATGCTCTTTAAGACATCGTCAAGTCGTATAAAGTGGCCCAGCATTTTGTCTCTTCTATTCTATATTATTACTACATATTTTACTAATATAATAAAATTTTAATTAATAAATATCTGTACATCTCATTTGAAGGAAAATCGATATGAGAGATCTTAATAAGATCAATAGAAGACAAAACAATATTTTTTTGATTTTTTTTTTCTATATGTATGTCTTATGTTTGTTCTGTTATCACTGAAATGCATGTCGGACTCGCGCACTGACGGCTCTAT